ATTTACGAAAATATAAAGGTGAACATGTAAATCATATCAAACACAACTGTAATTGAGGTTTTGAAATCATGTAAAATAAGTTAACTTTTATTTAGTTGTAAAATAAGTTAACTTAATTGTGCTACATGCCGGTGTTTGCATGGTGCAGAAATTTAATTGATACTAAATTGGAAATCATTAAACTCAGTATTGTCGTTTGTATCGCTCTTTATATGATGCAAAAATACACTTCCACCACTCCAAAAAATTCAAAGTTCTAGATTTGTCCTAAGACAAACCTTTTTTTTACCATGTTCCATGTGTATACATAGAAAAATATATTAACACTTGCAATATCGAATATAGTATGAAGATATATTTTAGAATAAATCTAGGACGCCGATAAGTGCCACACGTGTGGCGTTAGGGAGTCCGCCCACACATTTTGTGTGATGTATAAGAGGAACAGCCCACACACCTACGTGTGGGCAAAACAACTAGCACCCACACGCCTCTTTTTTCCCTCCCGATCCCTCTCACACGCGTGCGTGTGGGCGAAGTTGATAACGCCCACACGCCCGTATGTCAGGCCTCATACCTCCTGGTCCCGCACGCCATGCGTGACGGTCACCGCGCGCCCGCAGTTGCCATGGTCCAGACCCTCGTCCATGTTCGTTTAACTGCAGTTGCCATGTCGCTGAACTACGGTTGCCATGTCGGACAACTGCAGTTGCCATGGTTGCTCAACTACAATTGCCATGTATGGTCTGATCTAATGTAGTTGCCATGATTTCATAATTTTAGGAGTTGCCACATACTAACACTAGGCAGTTGAGAGAGTTGCCATGTGCTCACAGGCATGCTAGGGCAGTTTCCATGTAAAAAGAAAGAGTTGACATCTGCTTACGTGCACGTTTGGGCAGTTGCCATGTACATGCACGTTAGGGCAGTTGCCATGTACCATGCAAAAACATATGGCAACTCGATAAAAGAGAGTTGTCATCTGCTTACGTGCACACTAGGCAGTTGCCGTGTACCCTGCAAAACACATGGCAAACTCGGGTAAAAAAGAGAGTTGTCATCTGCTTATAAAGCACACTAGGGGCAGTTGCCATGTGCACTGCAAAACACATGTCAACTAGCAGCTTGGGTGTGGGAGAGGAGACAGACGTGTAAGCGAGATGGCAAATGCCCACACACTAGCCCTTGTGTGTGCGTGCAAAGTGGCGCGTGGGCGAACTGCTGAACGCCCACACAGCAGCCCCTCATGTGTGGTGAAACGGCCGTGTGGGCGACCGGCTGAACGCCCACACACCATGCCAGTCCTACGTGGCACTAGAAACATGCCAAGATTCGTGCGCTCACGAATGGACGCGGATCCATGCGTGTGGGCGAGATGCAAACGCCCATTCGTGTGGGCGTTAACATTTCCGTAAATCTAATAAACCTGATTTGAAGTTGTAGATCTGATCCTTTTCACAAAAAAGTAGATGTTGGTATATTTATCAATAGATTTGATCAAACTTAAAGATGCTTGACTTAGGTAAAACTTAAAAATATTGAAACGGAGGGAGTAATTAACACCAAATTTGGTAAATTGGGAACCAATCAACTGTGCAAACGCTTAAAAACACAGGGGAATTTTTCACGAATTAATTTATAGGGAAGAAATTATGACATGAAGCAGATGGGAGCCAGGTCAAAGGAGCTCCACATCACCACATCGCTGTCGACGGCATCGGCGTTCGGCGACGAGATCACCGCCTCCGGCGAACAGCTCGCTACCTCAGACGACGAGCTGCTGTTGCTGCTCGAGCTTTCCTCGTGGCCTCCCTCAACGCAATCTACCACCGCTTCTTGATTTTGTTCCTGCCGCTTCCTCATGCACGCATCCCTGAGACCGGAGAGCGCCAGCCCGTGGCCGACGGCGCCGGAGTTGCCTAGGCGCAGGCGGAGGCACTCGGACACGCCGCTGAGCGCGTAGAGCGAGGCAGAGATCTTCCGCTCGTACTTCATTCTCTTCATCACCTCGTGGATTGCCGCCGAGTTCTCGTTCTCGCCACCGCCGTACTCCGAAGCCTCTGCCTCCGCCTCCACCGCCCCGCCGATCTCCGCCGCCATCATCTCGAACGGTGCGAAAAGCCCCGCGTCGCCGACGTCCCCTGGGGGAGACGGGTGCGCGTCCATGAACCCGAAGTCCAGAGGCGCTTCTTCCTCCTCCTCGGACACATCCTCTTCCTCATCATCCGCGTCTCGAGGGCAATGGAAGTCCTCCTCGTATTTCACGACGCCATGCTCGTCGACGTTCGAGTCGTAGCTGAGGAAGTCGTCGACGTGGAAGTTGCCGGCGCCGTACTCCTCTTGGTCTTGCTGCTGCTGCCCAAGTGCTTCTTGCGCAGTGGCACTTGCACTAATGTGGTGTTCGTCGCTGATGCTGCGCGCTCTCTTGAGGCGGAGGAGGAGGAGGTTGGTGACCTTGGAGGGGAGAGCCGATGGCGGCGGCGTGTGGTGGTGGAGGTGGCCATGGTTCTCGGCCAACCCTGCCCCGCCGTGGCCGTCCGAGGCGGCCGCGGGGGCCGCTGCGCGGGGCCAGAAGTTGGTGCGGGTGTTGGCGCCGCGGAGGAGGCACGCGGCCTCGTCGTAGGCGCGGGCAGCCTCCTCGGCGGTGTCGAAGGTGCCGAGCCACACCCGGATCTTCTGGATGGTGTCCTTGATCTCCGCCACCCACCGCCCCGACGGCCGCTGCCGGACGCCCACGAAGCGCTTCCGAGCCCGCTGTGCAGCCGCCGCGGCGCCGACCGTCGCTGCCCATGGTTCCGGCCCTGTCGCCGTCGTGACGCTGGCGGTGTCGGGCTGGTGGTGGTCGTCCGCGGCGAAGTCAGCCTCTGTGGGGGACAACTTGCGCTTCATCGCCATGTATGGAAAAATTAAGGTTTGCTGGTTCCTGGTTGCCGATCTGCTGCTGTGGTTCGCTAGTATAGGTGCGAGGCTGCTACATTTGAGGTATTTATAAGGTGGAGTCTGTCAGGAGTGTGAGCTAATGAAGAAGGGAGGGCAGGAGAAATTGCTTCATGCTAATTTGGATTGTTTGGGTGCTGTACAAATGGAAGGCGGTTGAGGACAGTTTTGGCTTGACCAAGTTTTCAGTATCTGGGAGGCCCGGTAGGAGTGAACGACACACGTATTTGCTTAGAAAAACAGATTTTACTCGTACGTGCAGGACCTCGTCTCTCTATGTCGTAGAGGGCACCTTGAAGTTGGCTCTGAGAATGTGAAGGATAATGAAGTACTCCGTCCGTCCCATAATGTAAGATATTTTCTGATACTAATAAGAGTAGCTCGGATCCAAGTTTTATCATCGTAAATATGGTCGCAAAATAGGTGAGTAGACAACTTGCTACACGCTGGAAATTGATTGAAATTGACTAAATTTAGGGACGCAAAATAGGTGAGTAAAACAACCTGCTACACACTGGAAATTGATTAAAGTCGTGAAACGGTTTCCTACAGACAGACCCTCGCGTCGCTCCTCGGGAGCGGCTTGGGCGGAACCCCCAGCAGCCACCCCCGCCGGCCCCTCCACCCCGTCCCTCCCCTGCCGCCGCCGGCACACGTCGCCGGGCAAAGGCCCGGCGGCGGCGGACTTCGTTCCTTGCGTGGTGTGGGGCTCTCGCGTTCCTTCGTTCTGCTTGTTCGGTGGTCCGTGCGCAACGACCTTGGCTGCTCCTGGCGTGCTCCGGCTCGCGCGGGCAGTGGGCTTCGTGGTCGTCCTGGACCCCTCTGGATGCGGGATGGGCCGGCGGCGCGGGCCTCTGTGCGGCACGGGGGGTGGACCTAGGTGGTGGCGTTCCATCGGGCTCGCCCCCCGACCAGCTGCCGCTCGGGGGTGCTGCGGCGTGCGCGGCTAGATCCGGCCGGGTCCGGCCCGGATCAGTTGGGGGCCGCCCCGTCCCTGCGCCATTGCTGCAGATCTGACGCCGCTGCTGCAGATCGGGCTTCCCCCACTGGCTTTGCGTGCGGGCAGTTTTGGGTGGTGCTTGCTGGTGGCCGGGAGCTTCCCGGTGTGGTATTGGTCGGCGAGGTGCCGGGCGACGCCGTTGGCCAACTCTTCTCCTGTCTCTTGACCTGTTGCGATTGCGCTGGTCGACGGTTCCTTGGTGTGCAGATGGCTGCCATGGATGTGGCTTGCTCTCCACGCGGGGTGCCGCCGGGGGCGGTTGGGAGGGTCTCCTTGTCCTCATGTCGGCTTGGGTGGGCGCTTGTCCGTCGAGTTACGTGAGGTTTATGGCTTCGCTGTGGCGGCCATGGATGCGGCTTCCTCCCACCCGGGAGGGCCGTGGCTTGGGGGTGGTTGTCTTTCCCTTTCTGAAGGGCTTCATCCTCATTGGTGTTCTTGTGGTTCGTGCTCGAGTGCTTCTTTCGTGTGTCTCTGCTAGGCGGTGCCCAGCGGCCTCTCCGGTGGCACATAGGTGCGGTGGCGCCGTCTCGGCCTCACATGCCCTTTCGACCATGCCCCACGACACAGGTGGTGTCGTGGCATTGTGCGGTCTCGGATGTGCGGTGCCTTTCGATTTGCGTCGACGGTGCAGTGTCTTGGTTTGGTCTCCTAGGTGATGCCCTTCGACTACGCCGGTGGTGCATAGGTGCCGTGGCGTCGTCTCGGCCTCGCGTGTCCTTTCGAATGTACCCCACAAAACAGGTGGTGTCGCGGTGTTGTGCAGTCTCGGTGCGCGGTGTCTTTCGATTGCGTCGACGGTGCAGTGTCGTGGCATGGTCTCGGCTGGCCCATGCCGTTCGATTACACTGGGTGGTGCTTTTGTTTTGTTGTGTGGTGTTTCCCTCTTAGTTTCTCCATGTCATGTGTGTTGTTGGCGTGAGGGTTTCTTTTGCTTTATTTCTTCTCCTTGTGCCCCCCTGTATCTATGGTTCACTTGAACCCATCTTGCATCAGGTTGCAAAGCTCTATAGGCAACAATGAATACAATTCAGGTGGGGGAGTCCCCCTCCCCCCTGAAAATTCAAAAAAAAAGATTAAATTTAAGGATGGGCTGCCAGTCGCCTGAAATCCCAAATTGGGTCAGTTGAATCATTCTCTGCCCTGGTCTCCGATCCAACAACAGCCAGCCATCTCCTTTCTCCAACCATTTTCTGAAAAACAGATCACACAACTACATGTCTTCTTCTTTCTCCCGACGTCATCTTCCTCAACCACCCCCACGGACCACCAGGTGGATCGCCACCCTAAGATAGACCTAGAGGCCTTCTCCATGAGCTCCTTCACTCTCTTCAATGAGGTCCTTCCTTCCCTCCGGCAAGGTCCTTATTTCCGAGGTGCTCTTCCTTCAAAAATTGACTGACCAAAATTGCAAATTTAGACGACTTGCATCTAGCTATTGTGTTAAATTTATGTCCACCATAAAATCTGTTATTTACACCCAAGTTTTACGACATGTGCATTAAATACAGACAATTCACTAAAAGAAAACCACAAATAACCATTTTTTCTCAACTTTCCCAAACCCGTGGACATAAATTTTGCTAAGTTAGAAGTATTGGTATCATTGGTTGGAAAATGCGGTAGGCGTAAGTGAGACAGTGGGCCTTCACCTACCGCCCTAGGCGCATCCTAGATTGACATACAATTTTGGCTATCAGGATGTATTTGGTGTGTTACATGATTTTGATGTAGATCATATAGATGAGTAAACAACCAACTACTACCACTGGAATATGGGCCATTTGGCTTGTCTATGCAATATGACATGAATTTTTATTAATTGAGCGGACAACCTTTTATTTACACTGCCTAAAGTTTCACTTATGTCTTAGGCAAGACGTTTGGCATTGACGCCTAAGCGTGCACGTACAATGTCTATTTTATTTTACACTTTGACGAGGTTCATAATATGGCCAAATATCATCCTTTGGTGCTTACTGAATGCCATGTTATTTTTACATACTTTATCTGTATATATGTTTGGGGAGTTGAATTGGTCAAACAACGCATTTTTTATCCTAGCTCCTCCATTTTTATACTGAATCCAGCGCCGAAGGTTTTTAGATATAGAGTAGAGAAAAATATATTTTTCGTCCCTTAACTCTTGGCCGAGTCTAGATTTGGTCCCTCAACTTTGAAACCGAACAACTTGCACCCCCCAACTATTGAAACCGGACAAGGTTCGTCCCTCGTCTCGGTTTTGACCGGTTTTGGTGCTGACTCGCCCGGTTTTGACCGGCACTGACTCAAATTCGCATAATATTTTCAAATCCGTCATTTTTTAAAATTCATGTAATTTTTTATATCCGTTTATTTTCCCAAATACATGTGCTTTATTTAAAACCATTTATTTTTTAGATCTGTCAATTTTTTAAAATGCGCGTACTTTTTTGAAATTCGCAAACTTTTTCCAAGTTCTTGTAGTTGTTTCAAATTTGCATATTTTTTCAAAACAGCTTACTGTTTCAAATCCCTGAACTCTTTTAAAATTTATGTACTTATTTATAATCTGCGTACTTTTCCAAGTCCATGTACTGTTTTCAAGTTAGCGTACTGTTTGATGAACCACGTACATTTATACTTTTTATAATGCACATATTGTTCACATAATTATTGCGTAATTTTATAATTCACGTTTTTTTACGAAACAGTGTACATTTTCCAAGTTAGCGTATTTTTTTCAAATCCACGTACTTTTATTCTAGCTTGCGTACTTTTTCTAAATTGATGAATTTTTTTCCTAGAAAAAAGCTGTTCGGATTGGGAAAATGTATGTGAATTTGGAAAAAGTACTCGAACTTGAAAAAACTACGCGGATTTTAAAAAGTACATGAATCTGAGTCAACACGGTCAAAACCAGGGTGAGTCGGCACCAAAACCGGTCAAAATCGAGCCCAAAGACGAATTTTGTCCGGTTTCAATAGTTGGGGATGCAAGTTAACCGGTTTTAAAGTTGAAGGACCAAACCTAGACTACGCCAAAAGTTAAGAAATGAAAAGTATACTTTTCTCTATAGAGTACTGGTTTTTAGAAACGTCCATGTTGCAGACTAATCTACTTGAGCAGTCTGAAAATGGATTTTCAACCACGCACGGTGAAAGTGATTACAGAGAGTTCTACTCCCTTCGACCCATATACTTATCGTTCAAACGAATATATCTGGACAGTCTAAATCCATCCGTTTGAATGACAAGTAATATGAATCAGAGGGAGTAGCATATTCTGAATACAGTGATTTTTTTTTCTAAGACAAACATGAAGCCATGACGGCTCCCTGTTCCATTCCTCTAATCAAATAAGGATACATAGTTCAGTTTTGTGCCGGAAGTCATATAGCGTGGTTTTAAGAAACGACTGTACTGTAGACCAGTCTGCCTTTCAAATTTCTTTAAATTGAGGCTCGTCGGTTAATTAAGCAGAAGACAATCACCGAGTTAATTAACAAAAAACAAAAAAAAACCAATACAAACGGACCACATATGAACTACTCACAAAGCATAAAACCCCATTACCGCACAGACGACCTGACAAACACTCCGTATGCGCCACCATTGCAAATCCACAACACCTCTACATCGCAAAGGAACTCCAACAAGAACACCTTAACTAAAGACAACAGACACCATCAAATCCACGGTGAAAAACCAAGCCACACGGACAATTACGAACAACCAGGAGGATCTATCCTCCATCAGTCCATCTTATTTAACAAAAATCTTATCAGGAACATGACCCGCAGCCGCCGTGTGCGCGTACGTACGCACGTACAGCCAGTTGCAGACAGAGCAAAGGAAATTCACGCCGCAATTTCGGAAGAGATCAAAGTAACCAAAGCTACGATCACAAGGCATATCCAATGCGGTCGTTCTTGGGGGCAGAGTGTAAACAACAGCAAGCAGCAAGTGGACGGTGGTAGACCTCGGAACCGGTCCACACACAGACTACAGCTAGTGTCTGTCCGTCTGTAGCGGCCGCGCCTGACGAAACCGTCAAAGACAGCGACGGCGTATCCAATGCGGCCCCTTCCACACGGCCTATCTCTTTCGGCCAAAAGTTTCGTGGTTTCATCTGAGCCTGATCTCCGGTTAGGGCAGGTGAGGCCACGGGAGACGGACAAGGAGAAGAGATCAGCGATGCGCGGAGCAAACGCGTTGGTGATGTGGACGTCGGATAAACATTTAGCCAGGTGACATGGTTGATCCAGCCTCGAGGAATTGCGCTACCGTGATGGCAGTGATGCATATGGTTCGTCTTGTTGTTGACTCTGGTCGGCCTGCTTACCGTCAAGCGCGACGTTTTCAAGCACCTTCATTGCACGCTAGCTATATTCACATTGCTCAGGTTTTAGTTTTGGGTAGTAGCATTTCACATCACATAGCTATACCTCCCGAGGCTTTGCCTGGTAAATGATGCGTACCACGATAGTGAATAGCAGAGAAACCAACAAATATCGTATAGATAGATATCAGGTGTCAACTGTCCAATTGGCTCGCAAGTGTTGATAACCTGACGTATATTGAATCAGCCACAAGGATGTGTATATGCAGCAACATATATAGCTGATATGTATGAACAGAGACGAAGACAATTGGCGCGCAGCAATGGCCAAATGTTGCCACATGTCTGACAGAGGGTAGACTGAAAAACGTAAATGTCCATAGCTCCAAGTGGCAACATCATCTGGTACTCAGATTATTCACCAAGATCGGTAGAAAGCTGAGGTTGAAATTACATCCTCAGATCCTTCAAGCTCCAACATTCCTCGAGAATGATTCTCCATTGCACTTAAAATTTATTTCCTGCATCCAAAATTAGCTGAATAACTAGAATTTCGATTCAAATTCTCAATCTTCACGGGGCGCACAAGTAAATTGTCAGGTCTTCCTGAAAGAAATATGCAAGGTAGAAAAGCATGCAGGAAAGAGTAGGAAACTTTTTCTTTCTACCTCCATTACAATATATGAGTACAGTGATTGTAATAACATCTTATATTATAGGATGGAGGGGGTAATTTACAGCCGTGGTTAGCTACAACAAGAACTTCACATAAGAGGAACATAGCCTTCACTCCTAGGTATGTAAATGAAGCATCATAATCTGGTTTCATCAGGTAGACTGAAGAGCCAGTTTGACTAATAACTTACGGCCACCATCAATATAATGTTATCAATAATGAGCAGGCAACAACAGCAGGCCAGCAGAAACAACCTCAAGAGCAAGAATAATTCCAACCTGTACTATGTTGTGAAAGGTTACCCCAAATTGGTGCAGACAATCATGCAGACCAACCTCACAACTTTGTCAATAGGTTAACAAAATTTGCAAACAGAATGCTAACTTCTCCACAACTACTTTCTTGCAGAAGTTTACAAAGTTCAACACAACAGATTCTAGCAACCACAAATTAAGTCGTTGCCCACGATATGGATGTCCATGATGTGACAATGGAACAGGGTGTGTGCATATTCTGGCACAATTCACCCTGTTCCTTGCAATGCCTTTGCTGGCTGGTGAATCGCTCGCTTCCACGACGTAATGCAGTCTTCACAATTCCATCCACCAAAAAAAAAAATCTTGCATGTACAATTTTTCTGAGGGTTGGCATGTACAATTCGATGGTCCTATACTTTACATAAAGTCTGGAGAAGGTCTCCACATACACAGAATAAGCACAATATGTGGCTGATAGTAAAAGGTTGCTTATCTGTCACTGAACAAAACGACTATATGCCAGTGATGCTTCAGACACCCTGGACCTGTGTGTCAACCTCTCGTATGAGAGGCGTACTGTGAATCCAGTAGTTGTTCAATAGCATATACTCAAACTATTGGGCCTTGACGGTCTATTGGACCTTAGAGAGAGCCTTTATATGGAAGTATCCACGAATCTGGGAGGAATAATGGACCTTCAGTCCTTGACAGTCTATTATACAGCAACATCATAGCCTTTCTACAACATATTGCAGCAATTGGGAGCTTAATCCTACATCCATAGGCGCAAAGATACATATCACAACACAGATTATGGAAGTACAGTTTGCTTGGGCATGCAACCACATGAGCTCTGGAATGATTTGCACCTCTGCATTTCGTAAAGAAATTGGAAACAATTAAGGACTATACCAACTTTCACTAGCTCACGGCACAAGTCGATGATCACATCGCATTATTGTTCCAGATACAGTCCAGTACAACAATACCAACTAACGAAGTTGTACATATAAACAACCCATGTGACCCTCGGCAAAATTTTACTCACACAGATGCAATAGCAATTTTTATGATTTCATGTCCTATGCCACACTGGAAATTGGAATCCTATGTTTACATGAATTATCAATCGCACAACGGAAGATGTTTCAGTCACTAGGATGCACCAAGAAATCTATGCCAAAACATAATATGGTTTACTCACTCAGTAGTACGATAACATTGCTTTAGTTGCATCAAGAATAGGTATTCAGCCTTAACATCTTATTTTCTTGCATACAGATCAAATCAAGTAGCACAAATTGGTATGGCCCAAAACAATGTGTCACATACCATAGTTTCTTGCTTACTGCATCAGTTAGGAAATGAACGTTTGCGTCTCTGAACATCGAACTCAACATCAATGAGGTCAGTTATACCAGCATTAATCTTCTGTCCTACTCGGACAGGACCAACGCCATCGGGAGGAGTACCTGTAGAGGGTCCATGAAAGAACTGACAAAGAGATCCCTTAACGCACTAAAAGTCTAAAACAGCTGTATAGCAGCAAGAAAAAGAGACATTACCAGTTAATATCACATCGCCCTCCATTAATGTCATGATGGAACTGATATAACTGATTAGAAAAGGAATCTTGAATATCATATCACTTGTAAGTCCCTTCTGCCTAAGTTCACCATCTACCTGGATATGGTTGTTCAATGCTTGTTAATGATAATGTCATTACTTTGATTGCAGGCTGCAATAAATTATCGGTACATATTTACAATTACCTTTAGCCACAGTTCTAGGTCATAGGGATTAGCGATCGCTGATTTCGGAACCTATTTAACAGTCACAAAAAGTAACAAATATCATGATAATGCACACGAATGATACATAGAACGTTCAAAGGTCAAAGCATGAAGACCATGATTCATTAACAGAGGGAGGTGTTCTCATCGACAACGAAAGTTAGGTGGGTTTTTTAGACACAAATGTCTACATATGAAGAGTAAATGTCCTGGTCTATTGGAAAGAGAAACTATGCTTACCACCGCACTAATTGGAGTAAAGGTGTCCTGTACTTTACCCAAAGTCCAAGGAAGACCTGCAGACTACAAATTCCAATGGTTATTACTAGAAAGTTCAAGACAAGAAAAATATCTTGCATTATAGGACCGAGTGTTTTACTTATAAGGTCATGCTGATCAGTTGGTACTACCAAGTTATGCAAAAAGATAGTTCCAAAACATATGTAAAATTTATTGGATGGAGAGATTGTAACAAAAGTTGTTAACATACCAAAACGAAAGTACAGGCTTGTGTTTATTCACACAATTGTAGAAACATGGAACTTTTGAGAGTACAATGTGATGTTTGTTGGTGAATTTCTTTATGCAGGTCAAATACCCATATTCCTTGACCTGATCACTGGGAAGGAGAGAATTCTGACTTTCTGAGACTATGGTATATGGTCTTTGCTAAATTTGTTTTCATATGTTACTCTATCTATACTTAAGGTTTCAAAAACCACCAAGAATGGCAGGAAGTAGCAATAAAACAGAACAGGTGGAACAAGACTAAAGAAAAGTAGAAAACTACAGCTCTTAGTGCGAACCTTAGAAGCTGATTGCAGATCGTTTGATGACATGTCCAAAGCAAGTGCATAACCTGGGAAACCAGACATGTAAGCAGTCATATAGAATTTACAATATCATGACCGAAAAAACAAATGAATGGCTTTTGATTTACTCATACAGTTGATGCCAGCTACATTAACACGAAGCAATAACAGTAAGCCTCCAAAAGGCTCTGTTTCACAGAATACTGTAAGAAAGAGGGGAAACCCACCAAACAAAACCACGTGCAGTTAAACCCTGAAAGTTTATCGCCACAAATAGTCAAACACCCCAATGTTTTTCACTCAAGAATCCCTCTCACTTGAGAAGTCAGGCCATTTGCCACTACGAGAGAACAGCACCCAACAGGCCAACAGGTAAACAACAGAAAATGTAATCTAGCACACAAAAATGCATTTAAGATTCAATAAGAATGATGGCCAAAAACTTATCTATTCTAGAATCCATATAGTATGCATTTTCCAACAAGCTTGCCAAATATGGAGGGAATAATTCTGTCAACAAGTGACCCATATCTGCATTTTCCAACTACGAGAGAACAGCACCCAACTGCCGTAGTTCATTTTGCAGGCACATTGTTACTAAATTTTG